CCCCAAAACCCCAAAACCCCAAAACCCCATACTTTTCAAATAGTTAAATAAACATGAATAATTAAATTTATAAAGTGAATTTGTGATATTTTTTGACTTTTATTAATGAGTTAAATAAGGAAACTTAGAGAATATTTTTAGATAGTAAATCTAAATGCAGCCTAGATAAATGAATCACAACTTGAGTACACTGATTAGCCAGCATTACCAGATCTTGCTAATTAGAATTAACAATCAAGTTGAATGAACAATACTATGTTTATTAACCCGCTGAATTAATCCTAAAGCTAAGACATTGATTAGGGAGCTGCAGCCAAAATTATTTATGGAAATACTTCCTAACTCCTAGATATAAAGTAAACTCAAAAAAGAAATAACTTATCAATTCTAAAGACCTCGATTGACACATCTTAAAATATAACTCACTCTTAGTCTAGAAAGACTATATCTTTTTCTACGAATTCGAAATCGAATAAAGGAGTTCAGCAGATTTAGAAAAACGCCACAAGGGTCAAGTCATTGGACTAAAAATTAAAAATGCAAAAATTAAAATAAATTACACAAAGCGCAAATAATGATGTAAACGAGTGGGATCTTGATGTTGACATCACCAAGAACTAAAAACTGTTCGATAGTGACGAGGGCACTGATGAGGATTCGAAAAGAGGACCTGTACCACGAAGAACAAAGGGAGGCATCAATATGCAAGAGGAGGAATAGCATCTCCCGACTAATAAATATAATCAACAGAACATATCTTCTAATAAGTTTCTGAAATTCTACATGTAAAAGAATGCTACCCATGAAGGTGATAGGGAAAATGCAATCTCTATTATTCAGAACTTAGATTATGAATAGGTCAAAAGATAGAAATTTCGCTATAATGAGACATAACTGGATGAGCCACAGGTCGACATCGGTATTAAAGCATTAATGGACTTAGGACAATTGCCTTCTAACTAATAGAATTATGATCAAGATAAATTGGAGATGAATTAGTTTAACTTTAGAATGTCACAAAAACGAAACACAATTTTCAATGCTCTCCAGAATTCCATCCTTTAAAAGTTAAAACCAGCAATTGGCTCATAAAGCTAAGATACACTCCATGAGAATAGCATCAATAATAATTAGACTACAACCTCCGAATACAAAAATATGCTACCAAACGTTAACAATAGTTACAGTAAAAATAAGCAGTTACAATCATTTTAGCAAGTCAACATCCTTCAAAATAAAGAATTATTTAGATCAACCGAGTATGACCCTTACGATGATCGATCAAGTAAAGGTATTAAAAATGCTAGCAGAATAAATGATTAAACAAAATTGATGCCTATCGGAAAATAATAAGTTTTTTCCTAGACTATCATTTAAGATGATTCAATAGATTCTTCTCGTGAGCAAGATAGCATTTAATCATCTCCTAAAAAAATATTCAACCCAAAAAGCTGGAAGTTGAAGATTGAAAGCAAATATAAATAAAAACCTTTAACCCCAAAGAAAGTAGAAGAGGGTTTAGATAGCAAAACTCTCGTAGACAAAAGTATTTTCAATTTTGCGCTGAAACCTCAGGGAGCAATGAAAAATATTTACAGCAAACTTTCAATTAAGAGGCAGCAAGTAACTCCATTTTTCAAAGTAGACAGAGTTTAATTAGCTATAGATAATGACAATATTTACTCAGATCTTTCAAAATCTCTTGATGTTCTTAAAGTAAGTTAAGAAAGCACTCCTGAAGCCAAACCTAGATCTAAATCTACTAATAAAAAGAATCAATCTTAAAATATCAAAATAATCGAATTTTCAACTCAAGACTATAATGATAAAAATGGAAAAAAACAGGGGAATCATTAGAAAAATTTGTCAATCAGTATGATTTCATCTTCATTAAATGAGTCAGATACAAGCATTGATAATTTAAAAGTATAAATTAATACTGCAGACAAGAATGTTAAAAAATCTCAAAGTAGGAACCAAAATTTAAGGCAGTTGATATCTAACCAGTCAAAATTGGGTAAAAATATTTATAATACATAGGAAAATCAGTCTAAATTGCAAAATAGCCCTGATTACATAACTATTTAGCCTATTTAGCCTTAATAAAAAGATTAGTATAACTCTCAACAAGTCGTTTCAACCATAAAAGTAAATAATAAATAGATGATTTCAAATGTAAGAGTTCAACTTTAAAAAATAATGAAGGATGCCAAAAAATAAAAAAAGATTATGCAAAAGGATAAGACTAAAGTTTAGAAATTTGAAAAGGGTCTTGAGGATTTTAAAACTAAAAAAGATTAGATGTATGAAGATATTATGCTTAAAGATATCAAGTATAAATTTCCTTAGGTTTATGAGGAATAAACAAAAGTGAATGATTAAGATGGGAAAAATAGTCATGCGGTTGAAATGAAATTAAACTAAATGTTTGAAAATTTTGATGAAGTTTTTGATAAAAAAGTTAAAATCTGGCAGATAAACGAGCTATTAAATACAAACATAGAGACTTAGAAACTTGATTATTTTGCCAATAAAAAGAAGATAGGTCAACTTAAAAGAAAGATTCATTGAATCATTATTCAAAGGTAAGATTATATGAAATTTGCTATTGTGATGAGAATATTTATGATTAATGCAGAAATACGTTCTTAACTAAACTACAGTGCGGGGTTTTGGGGTTTTGGGGTTTTGGGG